AGAGTGGCAGAAATGATGGAGGCCCGGGTGCTGAGCAGGGAAGGTGCTGGGTCCATGTGCGAACCTCCCTCAGCAGGTGGGGGTCTGGGTGTTTTCACGTGACCCACATACGTGATTGGCAAGTACTCTATAAAATATTTTTTGAATGCCAAAGAGAGAATTTCCTGGACATGTCTGGGAAAACTTTTAACGTTTTTCTGGAAGTGTCCAGTTTCTAGGGGAGGAAGTTGATTCTTCAATGAGCAGATTCAGGTGACTGGACATTTTGAATAACAGAATGACCATCAATACACATTTGAAGACCTCAAGACTGGGCAAAAAATGAAAGCATTTACAGAGGCTGGGCTGTGTTAGTGTCTCAAAGAACTCATGCTCTAGGGAGAGTGGTGGGGAGGGGGCTGGGAAGAAAGTGCCCCCCACAAGGTCCCGAGTCCTGCTGAGAGTCAGATGGCACCTTGACCCCCGAATCAACATCTGTGCTGAGCCAAGGTTATCACACCCACCTGATATGAGGCTTTGTGTGATGATGTCACACACCCTACATCTCCCTGAGAATCGAGACCCCACCCACTTTGCAGGTAATGAGACTCAGAAACAGACCCTGACCCCACTGCCCGTGTGAACCAGACCAGAAAGAGGGCCATGTCAGAGCCCAGGTCCATCCATCACCCACAGGGCCTGCCACACCCCGACATTCAGAGGCTGGGAAAGGGTGTCCAGCCCCACAGACCCCACCCCAGCGAGCCTCCTTCCTCGGGTGGTGGGTCCCTGCCACACTTAAAAGAACGACTGGACTGTCATACAGAGCGAAGTAAGTCCGCAAGAGAAAAACAAATACCATATTATTAGATATGGAATCTAAAAAAAAAAAAAAAGGTTCTGATGAACCTAGGAGCAGCACAGGAATAAAGATGACTTGAGGACACAGGGAGGGGGAAGGGTAAGCTGGGACAAAGTGAGAGAGTGGCATGGACATATATACACTACCAAATGGAAAACAGATAACTAGTGGGAAGCAGCCGCATAGCACAGGGAGATCAGCTGATCAGCTTGGTGCTTTGTGACCACCTAGAGGGGTGGGATAGGGAGGGTGGGAGGGAGACGCAAGAGGGAGGGGATATGGGGATATATGTATACATATAACTGATTTACTTTGTTATACAGCAGAAACTAACACAACATGGTAAAGCAATTATACTCCAATAAAGATGTTAAAAGAAAAAAAAAAAGAACGACTGGAGAGATGGCAGCACAGTCACCTGCTGCACGGCTGGGAGCTGCAGTTGTCTGGCCGTAACCATGGGTCATGGTCTCACTGAAGGCCACCACTGCTGCCTCTCGGGCTGGCCCCAGTCAGGGGCTGCACCCCTGGAACACCCCACAGAGACGTGCCCAGGATGCATCAGGGAAACATTTCTTGAGTGAATGAACGGATCACAAGTGAAGGTTGACACTGACCTGAGTTTGGGCCACGGACTCCCTCACTACGCGCTCTGCATGGACCTGTGGGGTGGGGCAGGCAGCTCTGTAGGAAGCGCCCGCATCACCGCCCCGCCATACGTAGCAGAGGCGAGGCCCAGAGCGTGCACCTCAAGGGTACGCTGAGCTGTGCTGTGTGGCCTCTGTCATCGCTGAACCCCGTCCCTCTGCCGCCTGTGCCCCATTCCTCTGGCTTCCTGGGGCTGTGGGAGGTACTCGAGCAGGACGGTGGGGCCGTCACCCAGGTGTGGGGGCAGGCAGCTTTGCCGTCTGACCCCAGTGGGTCTGGTCCTGCACCCTGCCTTCCAGCGGGCATTCTGGTGTTGGGGGGACTGTGAATGCTGGGAGGTGCCCAGCTTCTCTCGGACACCATGACGCCCGTCTCCTTTACCACTATGGGTGGGGGCACTGCTGTGGCCCCTTCCTGGGTTTAACTGGCAGTAAGGCTCACTGGGAAGTGCCGCCCCAGCCATCCATGGACTAACACACCCCAAGCTTCTCTGACTGCCTGGGATCCTGCAGGGTTTCTCTGTCCCTGCCAGGCCCTAGGGCGTGAAGCGGGGCAGGCGGTCACTGGGTGGCCTCAGACAGACATGTCCCATATCATCCTGCTGCCTCAGCCCCAAACATCATATGCCCCCCCAAGAGCTGACACCACGAGCACCAGGAAGTGGCTTTGCACGTCCAGGAGGGCTCATCAGCCCCACCTTGCTGGGCGAAGAGATGCCAGGAGGCCCAGAGCTGAGTGCCGATATGAGGAGCCAGTTCTGCTGCTGCGGCCGCACCCTGAGGCTGGTGCTTGTCAGGAGGAGGGAAATCTGGAAATTCCTGCTTCAGGGACCCTCCAGGAATCCAGACGCACCTGTGTCTCCAGAAGTGAGGGCCTGTCACAGAGACTTAGGTCTGATGGTCCCAAGATCCTATCAGATTCTTCCAAGAAGACTGCCAGAACTTTTGTTTTTTAATTAATAGTCTTAATTTTTTAGGTTTACAGAAAACTGAGCAGGTAGTAGAGAGGGTTCCCATGTAGTCCCTCCCCTGCCCCAGATTCCTCTCTTACTGGCATCGCCAATTACTGTGCACAGGTGCTATAATCAATGAGTCAATACCGACATATTATTACCTGAAGACTGCAGTGTTTGCTCCTGTGTCATTGCTCTGTCAGTCCTGCATGCACCATCGTGCTGAGCTTGTTTTAGGGAAATGGACCTGGGCAGAGGTGGTTTGGCAGCCTTCTAGGTCACAGCCCTGAGCCTGGGATGGGAACGAGCTCCGTGTCACCCCAGAGATGGCTCTCCCCTTTGGTCCAGCGTTCACTAGAGGGTTCTAAAACCCTGAGCAGGTCACTCAGGCTGGTAGCACTGACTCTGCGTTTGTAATATGAAAGGGCCCTAAAGCTGCCCCGCCTCTTCCTCTGTGTGAAGACCTGGACCCTGACCAGCCACAGGGCCCTTCTTGGGTGGATGCGCCAGGCCAGGCTGCTTATAAAGCATTTCTTTATCACCTGCAGTGCCCTAGGTGAGAAGTGCTGCTGTGCAGACAGGCTCGGCGGGCACAGAGGTGGTCGCAGCTTCCAGGTTCCAATGAGTAGACCCCTCTCCCCAGCGGCCTGGGTGGCAGTTTCACTTGGCTCACTTCTCAAAGCAGTTCTGCACCCTGGTACCTGCAGCAACAGGGTTGTGGTGTGGGGTACAGCAGGCCCCCAAGCCCAGAATGCACGTGTGTAGTCCTCTAGCCTCAAAGCTGACTTTGGGTCTTGGGATGACATCACTGTTTTTGACCAGGCAGGGTCTTTGCTCCGGGCTTTGGCTGGGTGGGTTGACCTGCTCAGTTCCAGGGCTGCCCTAACAGATTCTTCAGTTGTAACCCCCTTCAAGGTGGAACAACACCCCCACTGTTGCCCCAGCACTCCTGAGGGCGGCTGTCTCTCAGCCCCATCTGTTTTGGACCTGCAGACTCTGGCTTCTCCAGAGGGTGATGATTCCATCCCTACAACCAAATTAGACTTCCAAACCTCTAACCAGATGAAAGGGTGCAACATGAAAATAACAGGCACAGGAAGTCACTCCCCTCCCCCACAGGTCACTCGAAATTCCTCCTGAAATATATCTTGCCTGGAAAAGAAATGCTAAAACAAGGTCAGATTTCTCCACCTTTGATGTTGTTTCAGGCTCTGGAGCTCACTCAGACCAACACCAGAGTCTGAGGAAGCAGAAAAACCTGCTTTTGTGATCCCAGGGGTGGCTGCCTGGAGTGCCACGGCTCCCTCCCTCCGCCTGGCAGACCCTTATCATCCTTCCAGAGGCCAGTGTCCTCTGGGCTGCCTATGTCCCCCTGTCTCCCCCACTGGATGTCAGGTACCTGGGGGTCCCAGTGACCACCTGGTGAAGGCAGCCGCTCTCATCACGCTGCACTCACCAGGCTGGGTCCCACTAGAACAGGGACCTCAGAGGGAAATTCGGCACCCAGGGGGCATTTGGCAGTATCTGGGGACAGTTCAGGTTGCCAAGCCTGGGGATGGGGGGACAGCCACTGCCAAAATGCTGCTAAAATCCTACAATGCACAAGAGGGTCCCCACCACGAAGCATCAAGAGCAAAGCTGGTGAATCATAACTCTGGAGCAGGGACGGTGGGGACCAGCAGGGAGCACAGCAGTGATGCACAGGAGCGGTGGCCTCGACAGGCAAATTCAGAGCCTTTCTGTGGAATGGGTGTTCCAGGGTCCACCGCACACTCAACAGTGAGTCAGCCACATCACCAGCCACAGTTGGTCCTCCCCTCCCCCGTGGGCCGCAGAACGGGACAGAGTCTGAACTTCCGCAAAGCACACTCAAATCCTGTGGACGGTGGGTGCCAGGAACATCTCTGACGGCCTCAGGCTGGTCACACAGCAGTGGCACGGCCAGGTGCCCCTGCTACAGCCCAGAGGCCATTCCAGACTCAGTCTGCACGATGGGGCCACAGCACCACCACTGCTGGACGGACCTGCTCGCCAGGCGCCCGGCCTGGGTCTGCACGTACTTGGGGTCTCGGGTTTCTACCCCGCCCCCGCATCGTACAGGCTGGGGACGCGTTGCTGCCCGTCCCCCTCCCGCTCGAAACTTCACTTTCCAGCCTGGCTCTTCTCTCCCGGACCCTTCTCCCAGTCCCTCACGCGGCCCTCTCCTCTCCGCGGCGTCCTAGCCTGTCCCACCCTCGGGCCACACGCCCCCCGGCGCTTAGTGTCCCCGCCGCGCCGCTGACTCCGGTATCCGCCGCGTCCAGCCGGGCTCCCTGGGCGCGGGGCACAGGCGCACTGGGCGGAGTTCCGGCGCGCGGGGGCGGAGCGGCCAGGCGGGCGCCGCCCCCCAGCTGAGCAGCGACCGGGACCGCGGACTTGCAGACTTCAGAGGCTCAGGCGGCGGCGGCGGGCGCGGAGGTTCGCGCCCGGCTCCAGCGGCTCCAGAGGCTCGGGCGGCCCCGGCTCCGGCGGGGATGGGCGGGCAGCCGCCCTGGGGGCGCGGGGGGCGCACGACCTGACCGCCTGGACTCGAAGCCCGGCCGCTTGGCAGCGCCGGGTCGAGGGTCTGCTCGGTGGGCGCGGACGCGGGGCCGGCGGCCGAGCCGGAGCCAGAGCATGCGGGGCGCGGCGCGGGCGGCCGGGGGGCGCACGGGGCAGCTGTGGCCGAGGCCCCCCGCCCCGGGCCCTGGGCCGCCGCCGCTGCTGCTGCTGCTGGCCGTGTTGCTGGGCGGCGCGGGCGCGCAGTACTCCAGCGACTTGTGCAGCTGGAAGGGGAGGTGAGTTCGCGCGGCGCGACCCCAGCCCTTGGGTCCACTCCCCTCCCCGCGGGCCGAGCGCGCGGGGGCTCGGGGGCCCGCTCTCCAGGCTGAGTGCCGTCCCCGCCCTCCCCCGCCCCCGGTTTTAGAACAAAAGAGCCCGCGGCGTCCCGGTCCCCTGGCCCGGCGGACGCCCAGGGGGAGGCGCGCCTGCAGCGCGGTGGTGTCAGTCGGCTCCAGCAGCCCGCTCGCCCCGCGCCGGACCGCGCCGCTCCCCACTTGGTTCCCCGAGAGCCGCAGCCCGGATCCCGCGACCCCTCACTGGGGGCAGGCGGGGGTCGGCCTTCTGGCCCTTCCCGGGCTCTGCCCTCGGCGAGGAGTTGCGCGCCCCGGGCCGGGAGGAGCCGGGCCTGCGCTCAGGGCCGAGCTGAAGGGTCGGACGGGTCCGCAGGAGGGAGCGGCGGCCCCGGTGGTCGGAGCGGGGGCCCTGGCGCCAACCGCGCACTGACCACGTCGGTGCGGGCGGAGACCCGCGGGCGGGCACCTTGTGCGGGGTGAGTTCGGGGCCTGGCGGAGCCCCCCGCCCCGGCCCGTGAAGGTCAGGCCGCCCTTGGCAGCGCGCGCTGGGCTCTGCGACCCCCCTTCACGCCCTCTGCCAAGGCAGGCAGCCGAGGACTTTTTAAAAAAACTGCAGTGTGACAGGCAAGTCACAAGCGTGGGCGGGGGTGGGGGTGAGGGCGCAGAGAACCTCCGTCCGCCAGGGCGCCGGCCCCGAGCCAGGCACCTCGCTGTCGGAGAAGACTGCTTGGGCTTCCGCAGCTGGCGGATTCAGGAGTTCTCAGAGGGAGATAACTAGCGTCTTCTCCGAAAACGCTATGGGCCGGGGCTGCCCTTAGATCTGGGTGTGTCCCTGTGTCCCACCGTGCAGGGCCCCTAAGTCCCTGACTTCTGATGGGAAGACTCCCGCTGGCAGACACCTCATGCTGTGGGGTGTCACGGGGTTATTTTGAGTGAACACAGTTTTTTCCGAGAAGGTAAGGGCTGTACCACTGTGCTGGGTTCTGCGTCAGCAGGGCAGTTGCTGGTCCTCTTGGATACGTACAGACCCAGTTCTCTGTGGAAACTGGCAATTACCCTGCTCCCTTCTGTCCGCTTCCCAGCCTTCAAGAGTGAAGGTCCTGGGTTCCTGAGCTTGGGCTGGTGTTGCCCACCCTCCCTGCTGCAGAAGTTCTCCCAGCTCACACCACAGCAGGGGTGGTAGAGCTGAGACTGGAGCCCTGAGTGGCAGATCGGAGCTCTGGGGGAGGGTTGGCCTGGAGAATGCTGGCGCCAGCACAGAGCTGGCGGGGAGCCTCTGACTCTGACACACTCTTCTGGGGCTGCCCTCTCCCCCTCGCTGGTAATTAAACTCCCTGCTTTGCAGCCTCTGCTGGATGAATCAGTGCATCCCCAAACTGAGGCCTTGGGGTGTCCTGCTTCAGCAGATCAAAAACAGAAACGCAGTCCCACCCTGTGAGCTTGAGTTTCCAGAGGAGGAGCTGACATCCTTTTCACATTCTTGGAGGACCATGTGCCTGGAAGAGGATGCCTCCCCTGGAGCCCAGAGGGAGCTGTGAGCGAGGACTGGTCAGGGGGCCAGCCTGCTCCTGGACCACGCAGGTGTTTGCAGTGGGTGGAGGAATCCCTTCACCTTCCCGTTCCTGTGCATCCTCTTACCTACCGGGAGAAAAAGGACCACTTACCTGCGGCCCCTCTCCCTCCATCATTGCTAATGGACCCCTGGACTTGGACACCCTCCAGTGTCCTCCACTCAACCCAAAGGCAGAACCCGGCCAAGGGCGGCTGCAGTGGCTGTAGGAGCTGTGGGCGGGATCTGGAGCAGAGACAGGGCCAGGTCACATTTCTGGATCGTAAGCCCCCCTTGCCTTGTAATTGCTGCCCCCAGTTATCATTTTTTTTCACAAATCAGCTGACAGATTCTTACTCTGGTGCGCTGGTTTGCCTGCTGACTCTATAGCATTTACGACTTTTTATGAGCCGTTCTAAAGACAGCACAGGGTGGTGCAAGCCCTGATGTGCCGGGTGGATTCTGATCCCCTGATAGGAAGGGGGTTGTTTTTTATGACACTGGCCACTCACATTTGACAGGCCTAATGTGTTTCTGGGTGTTTCCAAGCAATTAAGTAGAAGGTTTTGAAATCCCTCTCCCTCTGCAGGGGCAGGACGTGCCCTATCTTTTTTAGGCCCTGGTCATAAAGGTGGACCGTGAACTTTCCTACTGCGATGGGCTGGGCATTGCCGGTTATGTCACACCTGGGCTATCTCTCCTGCAAGGTGGGGAAATGAAAAGTAACTCCAGGCAGGAGAGCCTATTGGTTTTGCACTTGATCAGAAGCTCTTCCTGACTTTAGTCAAAAAGAGACCATCACTTCCTTCTGGTGACTCAGGGTTTGAGCCAGGCTGTGGTTGTGAGTGGTGTGGGCTCTGCTGCCACCACACTGACCCTGTCAGACAGTCCCCGTAGCAACTTGGAATTTACCATCTTTCCCATAAAGGTGCTCCACAGGTGTGTCCTCCTGGCCGGGGTGTGTGTGTGTGTGTGTGTGTGTGTGTGTGACACTTGCCGACTCTTTTTTAATGCATTAATTCAATTTAAATAATCCAAGATCAAATCAGTCTTCTCAGTTTCCTAAGGTTGAATAGAACCACAGTTTTTTTTCTGCATCCTGTAGCTTTGTCATAACATCAGAAAGCAGTTATTTCATTTTTCTTAGTTAGGATGTCACCTGCATGTCATGTGAAAATTGTAACATACCATCATCAGTGACCATTACTGATGTGGTGTGTTTTTGCATCTCCAGCACTTTTGCTGAGCAGATGTCTGTCTGAATGGAGCTCTTGCTCTGATGAGAGTGTGGACACTCCTGTGTTGGGTGCTTAGTGAGAGTCTTGTTGGTCCTGATGTTTTAGCAGAATGAGAGAGAAGAGGCAGAGCAGGGCCCGTGCAGGGCCTGTTAGAGGGTGAAGTGATGGGTGCTTTATTTCTCACGTGTCCACTGTCGTTTTGTTCCTAGTCCCCTTTTAGGCGAGTGACTTGTGAGTAAATGGATGCACGTGGTCATGTACGCAGGCTGGTGGATGGCAGCCCCCAGCCTCGGGTCCGCCTCCCCCTGGGCAGCATGGGCTGGCCACCTGTCCCCACGAGGGCCCCCTCTGCCCCTGCCAAGACGCGGGTGGAGGGTGGGCCTCCCCATTTCACCCTCCACTGTTGGGATTAAGGCAACCTCGTGAGAGGTACCCACAGCCTCTGGTGTGAGGTCTCCACTCCCTAAACCCCTAGGTCCCCCTCCTCCCACCAAGAGGGAAGCGAAGCCTTGGAAGGGGTGGTTTTTGTGGGACAGAGAGTTGAGGATTGGTGTCCGGGCATATGGCGCAAGTGTCCAGCTGCCCCTCAAGGCTGGAGCCAGGAGAGGAGGGACACTGTGATAAAGTTTGTTTGGCTGCGTAAGCGCAGAGCTGATTATAGTCATCTGTGGCAACCACACACCATTTAGTCTAATTTTGTCACCCAGCACTATAATTACGCCCATCCCCTCCTATGTGTCAAATGAGCTTGTGTGAGTTTTATGTGACTGTAATTTGTAAGTCTGTTCTGTGTGTGCAGCCCTGCTAGGCGTCTGAGGCCAGGCTGCTCATGACCCCGGGCCTTGGGGGTAGGGAGTGGAGTGAGGAGGGAGTCCACCTCCTTGACACCTCCTTCTGATGTGGTCTGCAGGGTGACTGTGCATCCCTAGCCTGCAGCTGGCCGTTGCATGAAAAGTGAGGCTTTTCGGGGCCTGGAGCATGAGTCACCAACAGTAAATGCAAACCATATGTTATGTGTTTTCTCCTCTGCAGAAAAGGTTTCTGGTAACTCACTCAGGCCAGGGCTCTGAATATAGTATTGTTTATTTCACATAAAAATCCTAAGAATGTGGGTGAACCTGTCTGAGATCTGATCAGAACCAAATTTCATGTAATAAAACACTTAGTTGAAGTCACCGTTGAGTTCCCGGGCTGCTCGGTGTTTATGACGTAACCGTTACCACAAGCTGACATTTACATTACAGTTTTGAGTAGGGGAAACTTGAACGTTTTTGATGGTTTCAATTTCTCGAAAACATAATGTTATGACTTACTCAAGACCTGCCCCCCAAGAGCATAGCACACTTCATTTTTTCCTGTTTGCTATTTATTAGGAGTGAAACCCACTGGGCTCCCCAACAGTCCCCATCGGGAAGACAGGTTATCTGCGGACCTTTCGTGTCTCCCTCCCTTTGCTTTTCCACAATTCCTTCCCGTGTCTCCCTGTGGAGGACCTTTACATTACTTTTGTGTCTTGCTTTGATGATATTTGTGTTTGCTTTGAAAAAAATACTATTGGCAACGCAGGGTCTTCAGGTTTGAAAATGAATGAAAAAGCAGTCAAATCATCACCTTAAGGAAAATACGAACACTGTGCCTAACGGGGATCCTGAAGACAAAACTCACCAACAACCTACACAGCCCCCCCCAAATTGCTAACATTCCCAGTTCGTTTAAAAGCTGCTCCCTGGAGTGCATTATTTATTATATGTGCACTGCATTCCAGCGTGCCTCCTGTAACTTGAATCTGCTCCTTGGTCTTCACACTCAGTGGGAATCTACCAACATTTCCTGGCCCTCATTTGGTTATCTGGAACTTGGGTTGGTGCCAAAGTCCCACTGGTGTTTCCCTGTTTATTTTTTGGAAGAGCCGTCTTTTCCTTGGTTCTCACCTCCACTGCACCCATCACTGCCCCTGTTCAGGGGTTTCCCAAGGACACGGGCTCAGAGGCCAACAGAGTGTCCAGGTGGTGAGAGGGTCTGGGAGCCAGAAGCTCCCACACTTACCAGAGCGCTCGGAGCCGGTGCGCTGGAAGGAACTGGGCAGGGGAGGCCGTGTGGCCACCCCTCCCTGGAGATGGGTCCTGAGCTGCAGGGTGGAGGCGGTGCCAGCTGCCTGTGGGTGAGGGGTGCTCGGACGCCCGAGCAGGTGTCTCCCGGCTGACGAATCTCCCCCTCCACAGCGGACTGACGCACGAGGCCCACAGGAAGGAGGTAGAGCAGGTGTACCTGCGCTGCTCCGCGGGCACTGTCGAGTGGATGTACCCGACCGGTGCGCTCATCGTGAACCTGCGGCCCAACACCTTCTCGCCCTCCCGGCACCTGACTCTGTGCATCAAGCCCCTCAGGGGCTCGTCGGGGGCCAATATTTATTTGGAAAAGACTGGAGAACTGAAACTGCTGGTGAGGGACGGGGACCTCGGGCCCGGCCAGGCCCCGTGCTTCAGCTTCGAGCAGGGCGGCCTGTTCGTGGAGGCGACGCCCCAGCAGGACATCAGCAGGAGGACCACGGGCTTCCAGTACGAGCTGACCAGCCGGCATGCGGGGCCGGACCTGCACACCCTGTCAGGTGAGCGTGGTGCCCAGGGTGAGGTGGTGGCCTCAGGGGTCCTCTCTCGTCTCCCAGAACCCCCGATCATCTCCCACCCCCACCTCAGCACAGCCCCTGAACATGCTGCTCGAGTCCATGCTTCAGGCCTGGCAGGTCTGCCTGAGGGCGGCCGAGGGGCCCTCCCGGGAGCAGGTGCCCCGTTAATGCTGTGGGCAGTTTGGACTTGGGACGATGGCCACGGGTCAGAGCAGAGCTGTGACACGGTCCTGGCCCATAATATGGTCTTCTCCCCGGGACCAATTTTGACTGTGATTTGAAATGGGTGCTGTTACCATCCAAACTGCCCCAGAATTTCTTCTGACACACGAGTTGGCCGAGTGTTTTTGGCGTCGGCTGCAGTCCCTGAAACATTGAGTTTTGGGTGGAAGTTGAGTCTGATTCACGTTCCAGAGCCATGCAGAGCTGGGATGTCCTGAATCGTGAACTATTCCCAGGTTCACAAGCCGTTTTATCTGTGGGTGTCGGTGAGGGCACCAGCACCGTGCCATGCAGGGCAGCTGAGTGGCTGTGATGACCTGGGAACCTCAGGTGAGGTCCCGGAGGGCGTCTCTGGGTGGCCGAGGGCCGGTGAGTTGGCTTTAGATTTTCCTTCCTTTTTTTTTTTTGCGGTACGCAGGCCTCTCACTGTCGTGGCCTCTCCTGTTGCGGAGCACAGGCTCTGGACGCGCAGGCTCAGCGGCCATGGCTCACGGGCCCAGCCGCTCCGCGGCATGTGGGATCTTCCCGGACCGGGGCACAAACCCGTGTCTCCTGCATTGGCAGGCAGACTCTCAACCACTGCGCCACCAAGGAAGCCCCTTCCCTTTTTTTTGAGGCCAGCAGACAGCTTTGCGGGGCCCTGTGTAGAAGGCAGTGTTGGTCTCTGGAAAGTTCTGTGGGCAGAGAGAAGTGTGTGGCCCCAAGAGCTCTCACACAGGGAAAACTCAGGGTCCTGTCTTTTAGATAGGGACAACCAGGCCAGGTGCAACCCTTGTTCCAAGGCACAGATGACCTCGTGGGGTCTGAGTGCATGGGGCGGGGCTCAGGTGCACCATCTGCTTCAATTCCAAAACTAGTTGGTAGGAAGATGCCTCCCAAGGGGAAGGTGTGAGCTTGGGTAATGGTGGGGGCAGGTTCCAGGAAGGCTGTTCCTGCGGTGACCGGCCAGGATGATGGTCAGTGGGGGGCGCTATGGCATCGAGTGTTGGAGGCGAGGCAGGGATGCTGCCCACACCCCATAGTGCATAGGGCAGCCCCACCACAGAGAATGACCTGGCCCCAGGCATCAGCACAGGACACCCCAATAAGAAGAGTGACTTATCCCCAAGTGTCAGCAGTGGTGAGGTAGAAACACCTGGTTTGAGGGCTAGGCCAGCCCCCCAGAATAATATAATTTAGTGAATAAAATCTTCCATTGGAAAAAACCAGACCTACTAGGATTTGAAATGCAGACTTTCTCCTGAGTGGGAATCTACATTTTATTGTTCTGTGTTCTTGGCTCAGATGAGTTTTCAAAACCTTAAATCTCTCTCAAACTAAACTGGTCTGTTACAGAGCTTCAATGTATGACTGCCCAGGTAGGACCCCTCCCCCCAGGGCCTGACTGCCCAGGTAGGGCCCCTCCCCCCAGGGCCTGACTGCCCAGGTAGGGCCCCTCCCCCCCTGCCCCTGTGCCTGCCTGGGTAGGACCCCATCAGGAATGCTGAAAGCTGCTATAAACCCCAGGACTTGAATAAAACTTTAACCACAACAGCCTTTATCTTGATCACCAGCGAGTGATCGTTGGCGGGGGTGGTGGGGGGACGCTAGAAATAAACTCGCAATAAAAACAAAATCTGGAAAAACCCGGTCACCAAATTCGATGTCTCTGGCCATGGTGATAGTTGGCTGATGGGGCAGATATTAGGAACTTGTTAACATTCCTTTCACTGATTAAAATGTTGATGGGTTGAGGCCATTCGGCTGCTGGTAACATGCTCTGTCCAGTTGGAGCTTTGTTCCACTTTGCTGTGAGGCTCCCACCAGGTTCTTGGAGGCCACGGCATAAGGTGCTTTCCGTGCTGCCACCTGAGTGCTCCCGTTGGCACAGACCGGCGTCTCTGGTGGAAAATCCACAGTGGGGTCACAACCCGGGGTGACTCAGAGCCTGTGGCTCAGCCCTAGGGACCTGAGACTTTGTTTCTTTACCCCTCCCTGGGGGGCAGGGTCTGTGCTCCCCCAGACCCCAGACCTACGTTTCCAGGCTAGGGCAGTGAGTGGGTTTGGGAGAGGCCCGTGGGGTCGCAGGGAGAAGGCCCTGTGTGATGGGGTGGGTCGTCTGGCTGGGGCGCCACACAGGACACGTGGCTGTGGCTGGACGTTGGGCTGCTGGGGTGCCCTTGATCCCCCAGACATACGCCTGCCTGGCCCTGGGGTGCCTCTTTAAATCTGGGGCTCACAGGGATCCCGGAGACCCTGAGGATGGTGGGGTGTGATTGTCCATCTGCCCAGTGGCCGGGGCGCTGGCCTGGGGCAGCACAGATACAGTGACTGTCAGAACTTGAGATGGGGATGCAAAAGGCTCCAAGGGTGTGGGAGCTGCAGACCCAGCACTTCTCTGTCCTGAAGGAGACAAGGGCAGCAGGGATCAGGGAGGCCAGTACATCCTTTCTCCCCAGGGATGGGCCCCTAAGCTTTTAATGCCAAAGGAATGGGTACGTAATGTGGAATGCTGGTGCCGGCCATCTGGCATCAGTGACCTCTCCCGGACCAGGCGGGCTCTCAGATGGCAGCGCTCTCCTGTCTGGCCCTGGCTGCAGCGGGGAGACACCAGTGGAGCCGAAGCTCCAGTGTATGTGCCGTGGAGGTGAGCACATGCCCGGGACCCGACCTGCTGGGGAGGTGGATGAGCCTTCTTCCTCGCTGATGAATCACGAGTTCGTTTGTGCTGATATGAAATTAAAGAGGCACCGCGGGCTGGGATCCCGAAGGAGAGGTGTGCATGAGCCTTGCTCACCTGCCGCAGCTCTGGGAGGTTCCACAGGGAGTGTTTATGGTGAGCATGTCAGCCTCGTGTCCATCCTGTTGCATAATCGGCTTCCTTGTATGGACTGGGACTCACCAACAGCCAAGAAGAGGCCAGGACGGAGAGGCAGGCAGATACAGAGGGGCAGGCGGGTGGCAGTGGGACTTCAGCCCCCCGGGGACTCGGGATTTGGCTGCCACGTGGCAAGAAGGGGAGGACCTGCTCCCCCGCCCTCCCCCTCCTCCGAGGGCCTCGCCAGGCACCTGAGTAACAGGGCACTCCTTCCTCTGGCGCTGGAAAAATCTGGCAGGATACAAAGGGCAGGCAAGTGGCCAGATGCAACTCACTGATGCAAGAAGCTCCAGGCCACACCTGGACTGCGCTGCAGCCTCACTGCGGGCCTGGCCAGGCTGTCTGGACCATCCTCCCCAGGGTCCCAGCACACTTGGGGAAACAGGCACCACCAGGACCCCCGTTGCCCCGTGGGCTGGGGGACGCATCAGGGTGGCCAAAGAGGGAGGGCGGGGGTGTTACTTGGTCTGATTCTAGGGGACAGATGCAGACCCCGTCTCTGTGGTTCTCCTGGGGCAGCTCAAGGGGGCCCTGGATTCTACATGTTTTCTTACTACTTAGGGGCCGAGAAGCAGCGGCTCACAGGCTTGGCCGCATCCACGCTCTGGGGTTTGGGCTCTGTGCGATGCCCACCCGGAGCAGGCCCCCAGTGTGCAGGTGAGGTGGCGGGGGGTGGACAGTGGTGTTTTAGACCCGCAGCCGGAGGGGAGTGGGGGCAAGAGGACTGGGCCGGCTGTGAAGGCCCAGAAGTGACTCCCATCGCTGCTCGTGGGCACCGGGTGGGGTGGCCTGGGTCCCACAGTTTCTGATGTGCTTCCTCTCGCCATCCCCTTTGAAACCGCTCTGTTGATGAGCCAGGGGCGAATGATCCCTTTGGGGGGCCTGGGAGGTGCAGACCCCTGCTGGGATCCCACTTGGGCACCTTAGAGTTTAGGGGTGGGCTTGATGGGCCGTGGGGCATGAACAGCAACGTTCAGAAGTGAAAAGAAACTTCGTTATCTCCTGGAAACAGTAAAGGAGAGAACTTAATTAATTTTTTCCCTAAGGTTCGTTTAGATTCCTGCACCAGTGCTTTTCCAGCCCCTGTAATCTGTAAAATTA